TGATTTTTAATTTGTGCGTCTGTCAGTTCGTTCACGCTCGTGAGGTGTTTGTTCTTATGTCTCTTCGATTTTCCTTTCTTTCTTCTCTTGTATGAGATTTCAGAATCCCAGAACCCACATACATCAGCTGAAGTAAGATCTTAACAGTTTTGACAGTGTTGACGCCCAGGATAATCGAGCATCTGACTTGACTTGTTGGTCAGTGACAGGGTTTGGTGACCATGCACTGAGATTCTCAACCACATTGCTAAGTTTGGTCGGTTCTTGTTTTGCTTCTTTGAGCTTTTAATTTGTGCCTCTGTCAGTTCGTTCAGGCTCATTAGGTGTTTGTTCCTGCTTCAATTTTCTTTTCTTTTTCCTCTTGTATGATTTTTGGAGCAAGGTTGGTCGGTCGGTTTTTCTTTTGCTTCTTTCAGATCTTGTAGAAATAATGATGCCAGTTTTACATGTGCTGCAACAGATAATGAGGTAGATAGATGACATGGCTGAAGCCAAAGTTCTGTGTGGGTATGACATAACAGAAAATGATAGAAATCATTGTAGGTATAACAGGGCACTTTTTTTAAAACTATAACTGAATGAACAGATCGACCAAACAATTAGGAACTGGATTCACGCAGTAGAAGGAAGTAAACAGAAGGTATAGTTAAACTAAAAATAAAGGATTTCTACCAAAATTATGAGCAGCACTAACAGTACTATGAACTGAATCAAAAGAAGAGAAACAAATGTTCAGAAAATTCAAACAGAGCAGCAGAGGTTAATTCAGTTTTGAGTAATCAGAGTAGCATAGAAGAGTAAAAACTCATTGTTGCTGAATATAGAGTGTGCTTATCATGATTTACTTCCTCACAGAACTAAGCAGTGTGGTTGACTTACATTATGGTATGCTTCCTCAGGGATTGGCATCATCGGTTCATAATCAAGTTTGACTCGTTATCTAATCTGCTGGGCATATCGACTCTGCGGCTAAGGTGCGCTTCCCACTCTTTTTAACTTGTTTCGGTTGCTTGTGCTTGGATTGCGTCTGCTTATTCGCAGTTATTTTCGTTGTGCTATTTGTGATATTTGTGAGATGCCACATCTTTGATATGATCTCTTATAGCTAAGAAAAGGTAAAAAAACATCCTTTTGTCTTCCAACTCAACAATTATTTGACATTGCTAAAATAGAACCATTTTATTTTCCCTAACTATATCTTGACTATATAGGTCAAGACTGACTTGTTTTCGGCACACATGGTTCCCATTGCCTTGTTATGAAACAAGGCATAAGCAGATACCAAAATTTAGGGTCGATCGATGGGTACGAAACACATATGTCAGTGAAGTAACTTTGGGGAAGCATGAACTCAAAAATTTAGGAGCACTTGACAGCGAGACGGAGTTAACTGAAAGTAATCTACAAACTTTGAGATTTCGATTTCTGCCTCTGTTACTTTGTTGATGCTCATGAAGCGTTTCTTGTTATGTCTGCTTCAATTTTCTTTTCTTTTTTCTGTTGTGTGATTTTCCAAGCAAGGTTGTTTGGTCGATTCTTGTTTTGCTTCTTTGAGCTTTTGGTTTCTGCCTCTGTGAATACGCTCATCAGGTGTTTCTTCTTATGTGTGCCAAGCCTGCTGTGCTAGATAGATGACATGCCTGCAGCACAAGTTATGTTGAAACCAAGTCTGCTGTGAATGATAAGCAAGGTTGTTTGGTCGGTTCTTGTTTTGCTTCTTTCAGATTTCGATTTGTGCCTCATGCTATCATTATCCCATCAGAGTAGGTACAAATCAGAGGAGGTTCAATCATGTTATCATTATGGTTTCTATAATTTTATTATAGACGGATGCTTCTTTTCCCTTGTTTGTTCTATACAACAAAGTGCACTTTCGATTGATATTATTACATGTTATTAAAAGTGCAGATTGTAGTTTTGGTCACTCAAGTAAAATTGAGGGAGTCATTAACAGTAGGTGCTAATTGAGGTTGTACAAGGATATCTTCAGTTCTTGATAAAGCATAGTGCCATCTGTCTTCCCCCCCTTTTGTTCTGCCAGATCTGGTTCTTTTTAGTTTCTGTACTTGTTCTTGCTGTGGGGTTCTTGATGAGTCTCATACAGATTGATATGGTGTACATTTTTGCAAGTGTGTGTACAGTCTGAACAAGTGATTAGTATATGGCTGAGGCTGTAAATTCTCTTGGTTTTTACTTCTGGAGTTCAGCTAGATTCAGTTTTGCGGCGTTTAGTACACTGCTATTTGAGCAGGCCAGCAAAGAATTGCTTTACTGATTGTTGAGCTGTGCTGCACTTTTTCTTCACACGAAATGGCCTCTTTGTTGATCTTTTTTCCCCGTTTTCTTGGAGAGTGCTGCCTTTGCAATGGTTTGGCCATAAATTTGTTGTCTTGCGATAGCCAAATACTGAACTTCAGAGGGAGACATTCGCTGTTTTTCAGAATTTATGGAACTACAAAAAATAACTGGCTCAGCTTAATAATTCTGCTTACACCCCTGTTTGTAAAGACTTCTGTTTAGTACACGCTTGATACCTAGCAGCAGTACCCCTGTTTTGTTATTACTACCCCCGTTCCTAAATATAAGATGTTTTAGTAGTTCAATTTTAACTGCCAAAACATCTTGTTTCTAGAAACAGAGGGTGTATTTGACTGCAAGATTTGATAGCAAAGCATAGCAGTAAGTGGTCCAAAGAAAGGACACCGCTTCTCTCAAACGATTTAAATGTCTACCTAACTTGCTTCTATGAATTTCCTGCTCTATTCTTGGTATGTCCGATGGTTATATTAGCCCTGTAATCTACCGACGCATCGAAAATAATAGTTACTACAAGATCTTATCCCTGCTTACACATTTCTCAAAGAGATGATATAGGTGACACGATTATCTTGACAACATAGAGCATGTATGTTTGTTGTCGTTGTGCTTCTGTTCTGTCAACTGAGCGTGATAAATTCTCTCTGTTTGCAGCTTTCTCTCTTTTTTTCAATCTTTGCTCATATGGACACATCCTCTGCTAGCTCTTTAATTCCATTTAACTTAGAGCCTGTTCGGCAACACTCCACTCCTCTAATTTCTCAACTCCACTCCTTACTTCTCAACTCCCAACTCTACTTGCATATTTTAGAATTTTGCAAAACGTTCGGCACCCAACTCCAGCTCTTCTACGTGTGCGCATGGAGAAAAGGAATCGGGGCAAGCGGGGAGTACGAGAGATTTGTGGGGTTCTGTTTCCTATTTTTTTTCTCGAACCGGTAAGTGGCGTGTAAAAATTTGTACGAGCCATCGAGACGGAGCGCGCGGAGCGTCACTTTCCCGACTCCAGCGATTTGTACTACGGGCCGCTCCGCTCCGGATTATGAAATCTACGGAGTTGACTCGTTCGGTGCGGCTCAGCCGGCTCCCGTAGCGGAGTTGAGGAGCGGAGGGCTCCCGAACACCCCCTTAATCTCTATCTCCATTTAACTTGTTGATATAGTACCACCTCCATTACAAACCGTTCTTTTGATCTGCTGCTCTCCTTTATTTCTTTCCATTTTATCTTACTTCCAATAATTAATTTGAGGTTAAAATCCTGAAATTTAGTGATGTAATGCACCAAAATTGGGGTAGTTTTTTTTATTTATCACAAGAAATGAGTGCTACTATTATGCGTTTATTCTTGTTTTGTCATTATTCTACGATGATCAACCATGACTGTTCTTTCAAAGTGAGCTTCATTTCTCTATAGTCAACTCTTTAAATGGTATTCTTTTGAATATTTTCAGTGCCATGTTTACTTATTTTATACACTATACAGTGATGGTGAAAGACTTGAAGTAGATCATGCTAGCATTTTCCCAATGTGATGACTATGACCAATAGTTAGCCTGCACATCTTACTTTCAATGCCTTCGATCACACCGTCGCCACCTAAAAGGTATGCGCCCTTGCCCCCTTTTATTCTCTTGCCCTTTCCGCCTTGCTGGGAGAAGATGTATGTGTGTTCTGTTTTAGACAATGGTGTTCATGTAAGCGCGTTCACGCCATGTTCCCAAGTACTATGTTCTCTTTTATTTCTGGAATCGTGTCTATTCGCACAAGTACTATGCACACAGCAACACATGGTCTATACTGCTGCAAATTGTTCTGCGTTAGCTTTGAATCTGTTAGTGAAGTTGTTATTGTATGGTAACGGTGTACTTTTATGGGCTGATTAATAGAATGGATCTGTATGTGCTATAGATAGCTAATCCTTTGCAACAATTTAATAAGATGCTGAAATCAAAGGCGTGGCCTCTATTTGATCAGCACGGTATGCTATAAAACCGAGAAGAAGAGAAGGAGGAGTATGGGTGTGATTTGCTTCTGTTTTCGTTATATAATTGTAGGCTCTGTTGGTACCAAATTTTTTTTCTGGTGTAAATTTTTGCTCTTGCGATTTGTCTCTTGTAATTATCTTGAATCCTACAGTCAGTTGCATTTTTGGTACCATGTGAGAGTTTGGTCCTGCAATTCGGTTCCTACAGTCAGTTGCATTTTTCTTGTATGAAATTAAAGTGTCGTAGTTTATCAATATCACCCGAATTGGACCATCTGACATTTCATAAGCTTTATCAGTACTATGTTCTCCTTAGCTGTACTGCTGCTCCAACTGAAGGTTTGCTCTCAGTTTCAGATCTCCCTGAGTTATTCCAGAATCTATTATGCTCTTTTACATTGAATTCCTTGGGTTGAAACTGTGAGCTGTGCCTATTTTTAATTCTAAAATATATCTGCTTTGTCTAGAGAAGGTAGAACGACAAGGTTATTCAGATGTTTTACAGTATCTGATATGCCCCTTAATTAGTAAGGTGGGCTCACAAGCTTGGGTCCTGAGCCACAAGAACTCGAGAAAGGCATCATACATTCCTTTTTTTGCAAGGCACTGACAACTTCAGATACGATTGCCCATGGTGGGTTCTTCATTCTTAGGAGACATGCTGAAAAGTGTCTTCCTCTGCCAACTAGCATTGAGAACATGTTTTTTACTCCAGTTGATGTCTGCACAATTTCTGGCTTATTGAATTGTATGGTTGCTTTGCAGGACATGTCTCAGAATCCCGCATGTCAACAACTGGTAGCCAAAGATCTTCATGGAACTGAGTGGCATTTTCGTCACATTTTTTGTGATGATTTTACAATTTGAGTATTCAGCTTGAATACCCTTTAAACTTTCTGTCGTTCTGTTCTTATTGTTTTCGTATAGCGGTAGATGTCACAATTGAATGTTGAATTCTTATCACTGCAGAAAATTGCAGCATATAGTGATTCATTACTTCTTGAGTATGTTGAACTGTATCCCTGTCTGGTTCTATATCATGCCTTCCGATGTTTTGTGTTTCAGATGCTATCTTTGTATTTAAGTGTCATTTATTTAGTTATTTCAAAATTTGTTGACGCAACTTCTTACATCCAATGTCCATGTGTTATAAGATAGCAACAAAGCAAATGGAATGGGCGCTTGCCAACTTGGCGCCGCCTAACTTCCTCTCAAGAGGCGCCACCCGCAAACACCTAGTTTGTATCGAAAGCATTCACAGCCAACCTCATGTCGGCCACCAGTTTCCGCTGGAGGCGGGCGCACTGATGCCAGCTGGGACTCTCTGGGGCTCCGACGCTGTGCCATGTGCGTCTCACGTGCGGGCCCGAGAAGTCCAACTGCGCCGTTTCCGACAGTACGCACGCACACCACGCGAACCGCAGGTTGCAAGCTACCACGAGCCACGCCTATAAGATGGCGGCCGTGTCCTCCACGAGCCACGCCTATAAATCGGCAACCTTTCGGAGAAGCGTCTTCGACCGAATCCACCGCCTTCATCCATGGCCGAGCACGTGAGCCACCAGGCCGACGCGTCGCTGGGCCACGTACAGATCAGCCATCCACAGATCTCCCACGCAACCGATCCATCCGGCCGGCCGGCCGGCGGTGCGCATATGGCCGTCTCTGTGTCGTTCGTCCGTCGATCTCTCTATGTGCGCATATGGCTACTGGTTTAGGTAATTAACGTGGTTGCGTTGCAGGACACGGCCGGCCATTGTGGGCACGACGCCGCGGGGACGGCTCACGACGCGGCCGGTGCGGGAGCCAACCAGGCCGGCGGAGTTATGCAGGAGGTGGACGGGCAGGCGCAGCTGGTCGTGCAGAGCGCCGTCGACGCCGCCACGGGGGCCGTCAAGAATGCCACCGGCCTCGGCGGCAACTAGGCCGGCAGCGCGCGTGCGCAGGCATGGCTCTCTCCTGATCCCGCAGCGATGCTAGACTTACGGACAAGTTTTACGGATTAGAAGTTACAGGGTGAGATGACATGAACTGATTTATGGGAAGCAGACCCCACCGGGAAATGCAGGGGGTGGGGGGCAAATTAGGGAGGGGCAAGTCAGTCCGTAGGAGTGATTCCGTGAAAACGGCCCGTACATTGAGCATTTTCG